CTCTGCGAAGCAGAGGTGACGCACTGGTAATATATAATATCAGTGAATGTGCGTATCATTCGTGCACTTTGCACCCATCCACTTAGTATCATTTTTCGGAATTCTGACAAGAAATTTGGCTTTTGCTTTTCTGCACCATTTCACCTATTTAAAAAGTAAGTCATCAAACAGAGTTAATCTTCCGATTCTCCTCGAATTGCTCTTCAGGATGGTAACATACACTTATCCACAAATCTATCTGTGACGTTTATAAAAACCGTTAAAAACTACCGAAATAATTTTATAGGGAAGTTAATAATATTATTATTCTGCGACCAATCATAAAAAATCAAGTTTTCGCAGCCAGTAATCAATTCTGAGAATGCAAGACATGGCGCTTTCTACTAATTTCAGTCAAATCTGGACTCGAATCATAAGCAGATGCATAGGTCATTCTAGGCTTTTGCTCGTTCTGATCTCACAAAAATTTGGATAAAATTAGGTTTGCATGGGTAATTTGGGCTAAAAGCAATCAGTTTTTCTTCAGAATAAATCTTTATTGCCTACTAACTCTTAGGCTCGCATGCACTAACATCCCTGCGGCGAGCGCAGCAGCGTCCCTGGTGATAAAGAAGCCGCAGCGGCGCTGCACGCAGCCCCTTCATAAGGGGACGCCGCTCCCCTCGCTGCAGGGATGTTAGTGCATATGGGCCTTACAAAACCGCCTGCAATTAACCATTCATTGTGTAGTTACATGATTAGATATCCACTACCTCGATTTTGTTGGAAGTGGAATGAACATGATTGTTCGAGAAAGTACGCGGTTTTCCATTCCAGGAATTTCCTGCTGTGCTTCGTCAATAATCTTCCAACCTGGTGGTAGTCCGGGCACGGAGACCTAGACATCAAAGATCCGTTAATACGTGCACAAACTCACACACTTTTTTGAGCTGGTGCTGCGCGGCACCCAACGCTGATTTGCAAGCATCTTCGTATTCCTTTGGAGGGCCTACATCATTGCAATCTGGTGAACCCGGAACTGAGCAAGTCTGAAACAAATCTCAATAGCATTCGAAGCGTAAGACCTAACACCTCGAAAAAGCTTACCGCCTCTTTATAAAATATGTGGCCTCCGACTGCTAAGCACAACGCCTTGACGTTATCCTTCACCAAAACTTGTCCAATCTCTAACTTTTCCTTATGCTCAGTTATGCATCCTAGGAGTATTTATTCATCAATTGGGGTTATTATTGGGTGTGCACAAAAATAAGGCAACTTTTTCTATAACTGGAGCGCATTTCTTTGATATTGTAAAATTTATGACGTAAGCTACAAATGCAGCCGTTCTGTCGAAATTCGCCGTCTCATGTAAGCCCAAGACAGAGTTTACGCGATTTCATCGCGGTGATGAAGACAGCTGTTACAAGATCATTACATACCGATCAGCTTTTGA